ACACATGTAAACTGCTCCCTCTGTTACATGGTTGGAGTTCTTGGGCCCCAAGTTTTGCCCACTTACCTCTATTTGAAAAGTTCTGTAATTCTTTGTGGGAAACACTATCTCTCTTTTCCAGTGGATTGTGAAGCCTCTCAGAAATCCTGAAGTAACAAACCAGAGCCTAGTCTAGACTTTCGCAGGAGTTCTTGTAAACAGTCAGCAAAATGACTAAAATGGTGGCATACCTTGTCAGTGTCCTGAATATGCAGAAGAAATTTTCATAGGAACCTTGACGTCTCAGTTCCAAGTACTGTTAGCTGGTATCTGCACTGGTGCAGTTTTAGTGTAGTCAGATAACTCGGCTATTTATGCCAGTGCAGCTTTCTCCCACTTTCAAGTAGGTGTACAAATCATGAATGAAAGCATTTTTTTTCCTGTCTTGAGCAGGTGTATGCAACAGTGTCTGGTCACAGATGGTTCATGAATCCAGTGCAGACAAGGCTTTAGTCTGCAACAAAAAATCAAGGGTCAGTTTTTCCTCCTCTCAGTGAGACGTTAAGTTCGAAGCCTAATTCTGATCACAAATGCAGCCGTACCATTGTTGGTGGCTGGACAGAAAGTCCAGCTACTCACCATATGTGCAGGGGCTGGACATAAAATCGTATCAAGTATAAGGCTGGAAGGGACCTCATGAGGTCAAGTCCAGCTCTCTACACTGAGCATGGACCACGTAAACATAGACCATCCCTGATGGGTGTTTGTCCAACCTGTTCTTATATACCCCCAACGATGGGGATTCCACAGCCTCCCTCAGAAGCCTGTTCTAGAGCGTAATGTCCCTTCTGGCTAAAAAGTTTCTCCTGATAATTAACCTAAATCTCCCTTATGACAGATGAAACCTGTTACTGTTTGTCCTACCATGACTGGACATGGAAAACGATTGATCGCCATCCTCTTCATAATTACACTAAACATATCTGATCTGTTGCAAAAAGATGAGTACTAAATATGCAGCAGTCAAATACGTCTCAGTTTAGACAAATTAGTGGGGGCAAGCTGTGTAGTGGATGTCCATGGTCAAGTATAAGGTCTGTCGTATTGTTGGGTTTTCTTGCAAAGAATTCCTCAGCAGTGGTGAATATGGACTTGTAAAAGCTAACTGAGCCCTTGCTGTCAAAATCAGCCTTGAAATCAGTTGCAGAACTTGCACTGACTTTAATGAAGCCAAGATTTTATCATAAGTGTTGAAAGAGTAAGAGATTCGCCTATGAAAAATCAGGAAGCTTAAACCCACTACAAGCTACTGTTCCCTAGATTTTGAATGCAGGCTCCCTGTGTGACATGTAGCAACATGACCACTTGATGAATGTTGTCTTCTCTCCAGCAGCGGAGGCTGAGAGATGCTACCAATAAGATTAGGTTATATCCTATGCTTCAAAGGAATAATCTCATTCTACCCTGCCTGAAAGGCTGTCCCTTGCTGGTAAAATGATCTCAGCACAGATGCTCATTTTACATTGCTGTGTCATCATTTTCACCTATTTTGCATCTTTCCAGACAGTGAGCTTATAGCTGAAGCATGGAGGGGAGCTATCCTTCCTAGCCTATGCAGTCTCCAATAAGATCCCCAGGGCTTTCCTACTGAGCACTTTTGTTCAGTGTGTGGAAGATCCATTCATGAATAGTGGGAATCAGCACCTTGACTTCCAGTTTTAGAGGGGAAGATGCAGTCCACCAACCCCAAAGGTAGAACCACGCAAGAACCAAGTGACTTCTCCTGTTGCTCAGTTCTTAGATGGGAGTGTGTGAGTTTGGGCATCTCAGGTGACTCCTGATCTGAGACCGCAGCTAGATCTTACTTGAGCCAAACTGCTGTTCACCTCAAGAGCAAATGGGGCTCCTCAAACGAATGTGAAGCTATTCATTACTGTGCTCCACAGGCATGGCTGGCGGTCAAATCCAGGCACAGGAAGGCCAAAGATTCAGCTGTGGCACTTATCCCAGAGTTCTTAAAGCAAACAGGTAAACCAGCAGCTGTTCTGTGAAGGGGAGTTGGTTGTTTTGTATCTTCAGCTAAAGTAGAACTCAATGCTGGTATTTTAGTCCCCTGGTGCTTTGAAGCTTTTCTATTTCGGGGCTATTAAATGTAACACTACCTGCAGCGCAAAGGGAAATTGTTAAGTAACTGTTAGGGGGCTTTTCCCTCTAAGCTTTCTTTCTAAACTCCGTGTGGGAAGGCGTATTATTCATTGTAGTTGTGTAGACAGCACTCTGAAGTCGCAGCTCACGCTCTAAAGCCTAAAGAAGGAGACTTCAGAGCTCAAGATGTGCTGTCTGCACAGCTGCTGTCTGAGCACTCGCGTGAACTCCCTAACCCAAGTTTGTTGTGCTATTTGGTATGGGAGGCTCCAAATGTTTGCAGACATACTCCAGTGGCCTAAATCCGCATCAGAAGTGCCAATCATGGAATTGCTGCCATGGGAAGCTTGCATCATTCCAGGCTTCTGGCCTGATTTGGTGGTCCATGATAAAGGTCAGCATGGCATAGTCGACGCCCAGCATTTTGTGAGGCATGTTCTTTCTCTTGGCGGCAGCAGCAAAGGAACATTTAATTTCTGTTATGCTTTTTCCTCTCCATTGGACAGTCACTAATTCCCTCTTCTGCCCTTGTATGGCGCACACATCAACATGGCATTAGCTCATCTGCTTGTGCAGCTTCCATCGATGCTAACTTGTGTGTGTGTGTGTGTGATGGAATCAGGCACTTCATCTGCCCTTGCACTCAGGCCGAGCTCCCAGACAAATCACAGGCAGTGTTGTCTGGGCAAGTGTTCAGAACCAGGCCAAGGCTGGTAAATTATGCTACCTGCCACAGAGCAGGCTTACCAACTGTCCTTGCACAAACCGTGGCCTCTTTAAAGTGGTGTGAGCTGGTTGTACGCAGTCCAATTGGGCAAACTACTTACAGTGTAATTCATTTGCATTCTGAAAAACAGGCTAAGTTTCCAACTACAGTTTTAAGAGAGGCAGTTCCTAAATTACACAATTAGGTAGCAGCAGCATCCTATTTCTATGTTTTGCTAAGATAGTCACCCTTCTGTGTCCACCAAATCTGTCTGTTGCAGAGAATAGCAGCAGTTACTCTGTTTCCCAGAAACATCCCTCTGTCAGTCAATGCCAAAGTAAAGCAGCTGTAATAATGGGTGTGTCTAAGGCACTGTCCATGGATCTGCCCTCATTTACTGTTGCTCTTTCCTAGCATCTCTATTTTTCTCACATATAAGAATGTATATTTTGTATAGCATGTGTAACATATGCTCGTGTATTGTAATATACCCTTATTCAATAAAACACTATGTACACTGCGAGTCTCTGGTACGGCTTTCATGGCAATCGGTATACCACACGTACAGAAACTAATTTCACATTGTCCAGCATAACGAGGTCCTTTCACATCAGTGTGACACTCAAGGGTCAAGCGGGACTGATTCTTAATAGGAAAGGTGGATGTTCTTCATGTAGAAGTGCCCATTGTGAACATACGCCTTATTAGAACAACTGGAGAGGGATTGCACCCTGAGCAGTCCTCATCCCTTCTGTCCCTGCGTAAGAGGTAAGAGACCGCCTGTGTTAGCAGAGTGGCGCCTGGCTGTTCTGTTGGGAGTGAGCCATCTCCTCCAGAGGGGAGGTCTGAGCTCCCAAGTGCTGATCCTGTCAGTTGCTGACTCATTCTGCAGCCTGAGAGGGAGCTGAGTGGTTTAATCCACCTCCATCTCTGACTGTCTGGGAAGAACTGACAGCAAGTGGGAGTCTCCATGTAAACAGATTAAAACTGCAACACAGGGTGTCCCTACAGCACTTTGCTACCAGCCCATCTGACAGCATCAATGAGCAAGGTGTCACTTATTCCTAACACGGGGTATTTAGTGTAGTGGGCTGAAAAAGGATCCTGACTCAAGCAAATATCCTGTTGCAGCCCCCTCTCCTGCTCTGGAGAGGTGAGGCATGTTGCAAGCCCTGCTAGGAGGGTGGCTCCTACACATACCACTTCCATATAATCTCTTGTGATACTTCAGTCTTCTGGTCTCACCTGAGGCACTGCAAACCAGGGCTGTGTTTGTCCCCAACAGGAGTACAGGACGACGCCTTTGGTTCGCAGTGATGCAGGCCCTTTCAAGAAGCTCTTTGCCTTGCTCAGTCCCCAGTAGTCAGTAAGCACAGCTAGTGTTTGCCCACAGAGTGGTTGTCCTTGGAATAAGTCAAGAAATATTTCATGTGTGCACAAGCGCTGACGTGACTGTACAATCTTTGATGTGGTGGTAGCAAAGCAAATCCATATGGCTCCATCGCTGAGCTCAGCTTGGAGCTAAGTGCCCCAGCAGACACTTGTCACCTGGTGTCATTGGTTAAACTCGACGTCTCTTCCAAGAGAACATGCGAACCCTTGACGCCATGGGAGTTTTTACTCTTCTTCGTGTTGCTGGTATCACTCCTGTAGAGAGACTTCCTGCAGGAAAAGATAGTTGGGATGATCTAGCTGAAGCTGGCTAGCGATGGCCCATTTGGACTAGGTTCCAAGAGAGATTCTGCAGCAAGGTGCCAGGAGCAAGATTAAGATGTAACATGGTGCCTGATCTGATGTGACTAGAATGATCTGGTTTCGGAAGCTTTGCAGCCTTGTGGCTTGTGTGCTCTTACTGTTCGTGCTGTGGCAGGCATTTGGTATTCAGAGCAGATGATTCTTAATTACCAGCTTTGTTCCTGTCTCCTGCCTTCCATCTGGAAAAGTGAATTACTTTCAATTTCAGACCATTAATCTTCTCCGTCTGTTTTTAAAAAATTGCTCTCAGTGGAGGAAGAAATCATTCTGTTTGTCCTCTTCATTGTGTGACTTTCCTAGTGGGAGCCTCCCCCCACCCTTTCCCAGGGGCAGAGTTGTGGGTGCACTTCTGTAGGGCTCAGAGTACCTCTATGGCTGGCTTGCGCTGGCCAGGTACCCCAGTCTGCTGCCGCTCTCCCCTCAGACATGCATAGGCTGCTAGTGAGCACATGGGGCTTCCTTTCTGGTGATTTGATATGAGCCGGTGTTCTCATTCCAGGTTCTAGTAGCCTGATGTTCCTGTGACGGCTGATGTGAGCAAGCCCCCAGATACTCACTGCAGGAGGGGGAGACTGGACATCTCCCAGAGCTGTGCCTGCTCTTCTCTGAGAACCACGGTAGGTTTTTGTTTTTCTTTTGCTTAGCTTACACTTTCCTTCAGTGTATTCCTTCTTGGACTCTCTCTTGATCTGATAAGGAATGTTGAACCAGTCTGTCTTCCCTCACCCCTTCGCCATGCGCCATTCTGTACCTTGCTGTTTTCTGTGCTTGCTTGCTTTGACACACTAGCTTCATCTGCGCTAATCTTTGTGCTAAAATCCCTCCCCTAATCGAGCCCCTGTTCCAAACAGGATGTTTAGCTTGCCAGGCACTGCGGGTCTGCTCTGACCTACAAGGGATGTTTGCAGAAGTAAAGCCCTCACAAGGAGCAGTGGTCAGTGTGCATGGTTGTCTCAGTCCCTGGCGTGTCACTGGCAGCGAGTGTGTGCCATATGGGAACCTTGGGCCTGGTTTTTCTCCCCCCAGCTGCTGCTGCAGCAGAGCCAAGCGGCAGGGTCACCCAGGGGACTAACTTGGCAGGAATAAAATCCAGATGCCGTGCCGCCTGCTGTGCTTTTCCAGGAGGGCTAGCTGCTTCATGTGTAGGTCTGGCCTTGCTGCCAGCTGTTGAAAGGGCCTTGTAGCTGCAGAAGGGATCAGCTAGCTGCTGCCCTTGCCTTGTGGCTTTGTGCAGGCCTGTCATGTTCCTAGTAGGCTGTGTTTGCTCGGCTGAGCTCTGCTCCCTGTGTGCCAATAGGACTACGGCACAGCTTTCTCTTGGGAAGGGAGCTAAACAGCAGGGATAGAGGACAGAACAGGGCCCAAACCCAGAGCAAATCAATGCTGTTAGCTCTGGTGCCTGCCTGCCTTTGCCTTCCTGGTTCTAGCTGCAGCTGAGGGCCCAGCCTGTGCTACAGACTGTTAGATGTCAGAGCAAGGCCTGGGTGTAGATTGCTTATTGTGGGACTGACTGCCAGTCCCTCACGTGCTCTGGCTGTTGGTAGACTTGCTAGACGATGGTGCTTTCAGATCCTCATCAGTCTGCTGAGGGAGTGTTCCCTACAGCTGGCATTCTAACTCCCTGCGGCTGACTTGGCACTGCCCCGCTTGCAGCAGGATGGCCCTGCTGTTACAAGGACTCCCCTGTCCTGAGAGTTGCGCTGCCAAACGCCTCACTTCATAAACTGGGTGCGGTTGGGTCGAGCCCCACCGGAGCGTGCCAGGAGGGGAAGCCTGCAAAGCATGTGTTCTGGCATTGCCTTCTCTGACAAGTTCGGTGCTTGCTTGTTCCTGCTGTGCAGCCCAAAGTTACTGCAGAGAAGATCATGGCTCGTTAACAGTCTCGGTAGCCAAGCATACTTGAACATAATGGCAGCCTGGTGTGGGGGAGATGAAAAAGCTGGTCCATCAAAGAGGGGAAAACCAGCAGCCATTGCAACTGCCTTGGGTTCTGGTCAGGAGTATCTTTCATTTATTCGGGTTTTTGCGGCAGCTGCGATCTCCTCCATGTTTCAGTGCCTGAAAATGATTGGCTGTTTTGTTAGCGCACCTTCTCTTCTCCCTGGCTGCTTGCAGCTTTGTCCCTGTAACACTTGATGGCTCCTTTCAGAAGCCTCTCGAAATGTAGATGCGCCAGTGCTCCTTAATCCTCTATCTGTCCATCCTTCCCAACCCCCACGTGCCTTTACTTTTAGGAGATTCATTGTCAAAGGCTGGCTCACCTCGGTGGGTAAGGAGCGTGGTTCTATGCCCGATGACCCCTAGATGGCACACTAGCCTTGTGGATGCAGTAAGTGACTGAACCGATGTAGCTGGGCAGTTTATGTAACATTACCCGGGCTCCGTCCTTGCCAAGCCGGGCACAGTAGAACAGTGCAGGGGAAACAGGGTAGCACTAGGCAGGCATTTCCAAAGGAGGCAGCAGCTGGAAGGGACGAAAGGGCCGTAGGCTAGAGGAGCTGCAGTAATGCAGAGGAAGGGGAACAAGTTCTTGTAGGTCTCTCCACACACTGACCCTTCTGCGCCTGAACCTGCCGTGGCACAAACAGGCTGGTGCCCCCTCTGTGCCAGCATGTGGCCCCTTCTGAGCAGTAGCTGACGGGTGGGAGGGAGCTGCTGCTGCGACCTGTGGAAGCCTTGTGGCCAGGGGTCAGCCTTACTAAAAGACAGGAGAAGTGTCTGCTCTCTGCTGACAGCTCTGCCTTTGTGCCCAACCAGTCTAGGTTCCCACGTCCGTCGGGCCACCTCCTCCAGAGACAAGGGGCAGGTGGGTGTAATGGGAGCAGAGGCGCTGGGTGGGGGACCGAATCCAGCCCGGCCACCTGGGGAGGGAGTTGATTCTTGCGTCTCCGAGATTCCGCAGCCCCTGCACTGACCGCCCGTGAGCCGGAGTGTTCGCTCCGTGCAGAGGGGAAGCTCGGAGGGAGACGTGATCCTTTTGCAGAGTGAAACTACGGTTCTGAAACAAGTGCATGGAACAAATAGCGCCCGGGGCCTAGCTTTTCTGGCATCTACCCTGAAGTGAAACCCTCTCTCCAGAAACATGCAGCCTGCATGATGCTGACCTCTAGAGTCAAGCTCCCTGAATGGGACACTGTCCATCATGTGCCTCTGTCTGTGTTTGGGTGGCTGTTCAATGGCAGGGAGCATTGCTACAAGCGCTGGAAGCTGGTGGTCATGCCCAGGATTCCTTAGTGTGACTGGGCAGCACCGCATCTCGCGAGGAGACAGCCAGGGGCTGTGGGTAGCTGACAGGGCACAGCCATGCCCTGGTGCCAGAACCAGCAGACAGCTTTACACTTCTCCCCTGTAACTCCCATGCTGGTGGATGAGCCTCATGGGTCCATTTTACAGTTGAGAAAACAGAGGCTGAGGCATCTGGCCAAGATCACAACCAGGGCCTGGCAAAGCTGGGGTTAGAACCAGGCGTCCTGAGCCCTGCCAACATAGTCAGTCCATAGACCGCAACTGCTCCTTTTACTCTGCTCTTCCTCGGAGCTGGAATGCTGCTTCCAGCTGGTTTTTAGCATCCGAGCAGAATGGGAACCAGCCCAGAAATGGGAGAACATAAACCAGTGATACCGAGAACTGCTCCGCGTCAGCGTGTCATTTTTACGACTCATTTCATCCAGCAGCACAGGGCTGGCCCCAGACCAGGGAACAGCAGTGCTCTCGGGGCTAGTGTTTATCCCATTGTGGTGCCAACGAGCAGCGATTGATTTGCTCCAGAAAGGGCTGCATGCTGATGACCTGGTAAATGTGTATTGATGAGCGCTAAAAGGACAGCACGGTGGATCTGGGTACGCTCGTCTCAGCCTCGTTTCCATTCTGCTCAGAGCTGTGGCTGCTGCGGGGAGTCTGAGGCTCCTGCTCCGCCTGCTTTCCCTTCTAGCCAATAACGTGTCAGAGCAGGGCTTGTCTCGCAGGCTCGTGGTGCGTTGTCCTGCAGAGAGAGCGAGCAGTCCTTCCAGTGACACACACTGCAGAATGCATCCCGAACATGGAGGGGCTGCAGCTTCCTGGTGCCCAGCTGTGCAGCCCACAGGGCTGTGCTCCCAGCAGCTGGCCTAGCAGGTTTGGATAGGCCTGGCCAAGCCAATAGGGGAGAGCAGGGCTTGTCTCGCAGGCTCGTGGTGCGTTGTCCTGCAGAGAGAGCGAGCAGTCCTTCCAGTGACACACACTGCAGAATGCATCCCGAACATGGAGGGGCTGCAGCTTCCTGGTGCCCAGCTGTGCAGCCCACAGGGCTGTGCTCCCAGCAGCTGGCCTAGCAGGTTTGGATAGGCCTGGCCAAGCCAATAGGGGTGGATTGCCCGTTTGCCCGCCACTGGAGCATTGTTTTGCACAGGCAGCAGGAGGCTGCAGGGGCCTGCCTGCTCTTCCCTGCTGAGCTCTTTCCCATGTGCATCTTCCCATCCTCCACCCCGGAGCAGCTCCGCTGCCATTGGGCTGGCCCAGCCTTGGCAGCCTTTCCCTGCCACCCACACACAGCTGC